TTATTATAGTATTTGGTTTTAGAATCCTTAAATACCTCAAAAGGAAGACAAATAATTCAATTGAAAAATGGGTAGAGGACATCAAAAGACACTTCACAAAAGAAGACATTCAGGCTGCCAACAAACAGATGAAGATATGTTCTTGATCATTAGTCATTGCTGTTAAGTGCTGTCGAGTTGGTCCCGACTCATAACAACCCTGGATAGGGTTTCCGAGGAGCAGCTGGTAAACTTGACCCACAGCCTTGTGGTTCAAACCGACTTTGCAGTCCAGTGCATTAACCTTCAGAGCCACATCATTAGAGAGATGCAAATCAAAATAACAATGAGATATTACTTTACTCCAGCATTAATAGCAACTTTTAAAAAAGACAGAAAAAAATGCTGGTGAGGGTTCAGAGATAAAATGGTACAACTGCTGTGGAAAATGATATGACACTTTCTCAAAAATGTGGAAATAAAAATACCATAAGACCCAGACCTAGCAAACCCTCTACTTGACATAAGACACGTGGCAAAAATAGATATAGGCACACCTGTTTTCATTGTAGTACTATTCACAGTAACAAAAAGATGGAGACAGCCTAAATGCCCATCACCAGAAGAATGGTTAAACAAACTTTGGTACATACACACAATGGAATACTTTGTAATACTGACAAATTAAGATGAATCTGGGAAATACTTCATAACATGTATGAACCTGGAGGACATTGTTTTGAGTGAAATTATTCAATTACAATAGGACAAATATTGTATGAGATCACTGTTTGAAAAATGTCTTTCTTGCTAAAAAAATTCTATAATGGTTATTAGACTTGGGAGGTAAGGGGAAATTATTCTGAGTGTACTGTAGACACATGTTAACTTGGGTCAAGAAAAAAAAACCCAATATACAAGAGGGAAGTTGGCAGAGGAAAGATGAAGGTAACAGAAGACAAGAAGGAATGCAAGAGTTACAGTGAATAAAGGCAAATATTGGTATCTGATGGTACAGGGAGGGGATTGAAATCATTGTAATGATGAAGCATATGATGTGTTGAATGTAAAACTGATGATCTGCTTTGTAAACTTTCAGTCAATTCATACCAAAAAGTTAAAAAAGGAAGTTTTCCTTCTTTTAGACTCAATCTCTCCCTTCAAGCCTATGCAATGTTGTTGTTGTTGTTAAGTGCCCTTGAGTCAGTTCCAACTCATAGCCACTCTGCCTAGGGTTTCTGAGGAGGTGTATGTAAATCTCCTCTGCCAGAACACCTTCTGTTTCCAGAGGTGCTCACAAGATCATCTTATCTAGTCTGGCAGACCATTTACCAGTCTGTCTCCCTCTCTTGCCATCCATGCTCAGCTTCTCCTCCCAGTAAGCACTAAACCTACTTTTCTAATCTTTCCTCTTAAATTCAGGGTTCCAGGATTTTCATTTGTGTCTGCTTCATTTGGTCTCTGTATCTTTGTTGTAGAGGGTCCGTCCTATTACTGGAAGGCCTCCTTATTTTACCTTTTTATTGAAGGAAGGTTTACAGAGCAAATTGGTTTTCCATAAAAAAATTCATACACATTTTGTTTTATGACTTTGAGTGTAG